TATACCCAACAACAAAATACACATTCTTCTCTGCTGCACATGGAACTTTCTCCAAAATAGATCATAAACTAGCTCACAGAACATGCTATGAACATGCTCATAAAACACAGAACAAGTAAATTAAAAAGTATCAAAATTATCCCATGCATATTATCAGACCATACTGTAATGAAATTAGAAATCAATGACAAAAGAAACTACATAAACACATGGAAATTAAATAATACCTTCCTGAACAACCAATGGGCTACAAATGAAATTAAAGAAGAAGCTAGACAGTTTCTACATAAAGAATTTTCTTTTGTCTTTTTAAGTCAGGGTCTCACACCACAGTTCAGGCTAGCCTTGAACTCACTGTATACCCCTTGTTGATCTCAAACTCGCAACAATCTTCCTGCCTCTGCCTCCTGTGCGCTGGAATTACAGGTATGCACCACCACACTCAGTTAGACCATGTCTACAATTAAACAATAATGCAGATATGACAACTAGAATTTATGCAGCACAATGAAAGCAGGCCTACAAAGGAAATATATAGTAGTAATTGCACACGCCAGAAAGACAGCAACCTCAATAAACTAATGTTCAACCTCAAGCTTCTAGAAAAATAACAGCAAGTCAAACACAAAGCTTGATGAGGGAGGAAATTATAAAGATCAGAGCAGTTACTCTGGGAAAGCAGCAGCACCAGATCCAAGATGGCGGCCAGCAGAAGGCTGATGAAAGAGCTTGAAGAAATCCACAAATGTGGAATGAAAAACTGTAACATCCAGGTTGATGAAGCTAATTTATTGACTTGACAAAGGCTTATTGTTCCTGACAACCCTCCATAGGATAAGGGTGCCTTTAGAATTGAAATCAACTTTACAGCACAGTATCCATTCAAACCACTGAAGACCACATTTAAAACAAAAGATCAACCAAACATTGATGAAAAAGGGCAAGCTTGCCTGCTGGTAATTAGTGCTGAGAACTGGAAGCCAGCAACCTAGATCAACCAACTAATGCAGTCCCTCATAGCACTGGTGAATGACCCTCAGCCTGAGCACCAGCTCCAGCTGAAGGATACTCTTAAGGACCATAAAAAGTTCTCTAAGAATGCTGAAGAGTTCACAAAGAAATATGGGGAAAAGTGACCTGTGGACTAAAATCTGCCACAAATGATTCCAGCAAGTGTGAGCAGAGACCCCCAGCAGTGTCTTCACACATTCCACAAAGCAGGACTCAGTGGAAAATTGACGTGTGCCACCACCTGGCCTTCACTTATGGCAGTTACTAACTTTCTACAGTTTTCTTAATCAAAAGTGATCTAGTAACCTGTAAAGAAAGGATTAAAAAATTTAGATATTCTAGTTCTGCTTTCTTTGTTTTAAAATTCACTGCTTCGATCCACTTTAAAAAAAAAAAAATCAGGGGGCCGGGGAGATGGCTCACTGGAATAAGTGCTTCAATGGCAAGTGCAAGGGCCTGAGTTCAATTCCCAGTTCCACATGTGCCAAACCCATCTGTTTAATCCCAGTATCACACACTTTAGAATCAGCCATCTTTGAAAAGCTCCACCTATGACTGCATGAGGCTTTGAGGGGATAACTAAACACAAACCATAAAACCCATGATCTTGAGGAAGCTCATGAGGGTATCCACATTTGAACACTGGTTATGAAAGATGTTTATAGTTTATGCATTTTTTTTTTTTTTTTTTTGGTGGCACCAAGGATCAAACTCAGGACCTTGCTTTTGTCAGGCAAGCACTTATTTCACTGAGCTATCTCCCCAGCCCCTGTGCATTCTTCGTGTCAATGTTTTAATTCCATAAAATGACTTATCAAAAATTAACTTCAAAGGGCCGGGCAAATAGCTCAGCAGATTAAAGAGCTTGCAAGCAGGTGCAGGGCCCTGGGGTTCGATCCCTGGGCCTGCTGAGCCAGCCTCGCCCCCAGGGCACAATGAGATGGCAATTGAGACTGGGCATGGTGGCGCATGTCTGTAATCCCAGGTTTTAGGAGGCTGTAAACAGGCGGATCACTACAAGTCTGATCTAGTAGCGAAACCCTAAACACCCTATAGACCTTTCCCTAAAAATGCGCGCGCGCGCACACACACACACACACACACACACAAATCAACTTCAATGAACAAAAGAAGCTTCCAACAGAAGTTGATACATTTTGTCTTGCAAGGAAATTTTACTTCCTCTAACTTTTAAACAAAACATTAATTTATTATTTGTTGCCTGTATCCAGCTGGCAGAGCCCATTATTCTGAGAGAAAAAACATTTAGCTGAACTCCAATTTGGATGTGCCACCATGTCAGCTAAACTTTATGTATTCAGAGACAAAAACATAGTACATCTAGAGTTCAGTACTATCTCAGTTCCATGCATCTATTCACATCATGCAATGTATCCCTCCAGATAAGACCACCAAGAGCCCTGGCATGGTGGTGCATGGTAATCTCAGGACTCAGGAGGCTGATGCAGGAGAAACAATGCAAGTTCTAGCCCAGCCTGGGCTACAAAGTGAGTTCAAGTCCAACCTGAAAAGCATTGTGAAACCCTGTCTCAAAAGACAAACAAAAAACCCTACCATACAAAATAAATATTTGTGGTATAGATGAGTAGAGTACATTGGTGATCTGGGTGATGTCAAGAAGAAAGAATAATCTCAGGCCGAGGAGATGGCTCAGTAGACTAAGTGCTTCCCTGACAAGCGTGAGGGCCTGAGTTCAGTCCCTGGTCACGGAAAAAAAAAAAGAAGAATCTCTTTGTCTTTGACCTCCCCTACCACTCTTCCCTTCTTCCTGCTCTTCCAACATATCAGCTCACTCCTGTCTCTTCCTAAAACATTCTTCCCAGCAGTTTGCACAGACACTCCTTCTTCTTCAATTAGGTCTTAGCACAAAAGTCATTTCTTCAGATTCTTTTCCTGAACACCCTAATGTTTTCCCTCATAACTCACCTGAGGCTTCCTTGTTTTGGCCACTCCTTAACACTTTTTATCTTAACTTTTTTTTAAAATTTAGTGTGTGTGTGTGTGTGTGTGTGTGTGGCCAGCTCAGCCCACCAGGGGTCGGGGGCTGGCTGGCATGTGGTGCTGGGGATTGAACCGCGGTCGCTGTGCTTTTGCTTAGCTTAGCTTGTTCTAAGTATGTGCTTTAGACCACTGAGCCATCTCACCAGCCCCTATCTTAACTTTTGAATTATATTTTTCTCTATTACAGTAATAAAAGTACACTCATAAAAATATTAGACCTTATGTGTTTATCTCCGCTGGTTCACCACTGTATTCCAGTGCCCCAAATATCATCTGGCTCATAATAACCTCTCAATAAATATTTTAATAAATGAGATTCAAAGAGGTAATCACAGCTTCATTCATTTTATGTATTCGGTACAGTCTCCATACATAGCTCTCACTCGTAGTGATCCTCCTGTTTTAGACTCCCCAGAGCTGGGATTACAAGCATAAACTGCCACACCCAGTCTGAGTAGGTGGTTCAGCTCACCTAGGATGGAGCCAGCACAGCATGTGGAACCAGAGATTAAACCCAGGTCCTTGAGTTTACCAGGCAGGCATTTAGACTGCTGAGCTATCTCTCCAGCCCACAAGCTTCATTCAACAAATATTTTGTGTGTATTTAGGAAGATCTAGGCTCTATTTCAAGGTGCTGTGGACGTAGCTATTAAGTAGACAAAAATCTGTACTTCACTGGAACTTGTTTTCCAATAGGAAGATAAACAATAAGCAAGATTAAAACCGAAGCATGCTATCCATGAGAATGCTAAGGAGAAAAGGCAGGAAAGGAAAGGAACTACAGCAGACTGTGGGAGGGAGCTAAGAGAAGAAACAGTCATTGTGATATATGGGAGAAATATATTCTAGGTCACTGGGACAAGAATTAAGGGTTTTTGGCTAGTGCAAGGTACTGAGTTCAACCCCCAGGTAGCACAAAAAAAAAAAAAAAAATTAAGGGTTGAGGACTGAGTAACACATTAAATGGGGTCGTAGAAGTTAAGGGAGGGGCCGAGGAGATGGCTCAGTAGAATAAATGCTTGCTTGGCAAGCACAAGGGCCTGAGTTCAATGCCCGGTTCCGCAAAAAAATAAAAAAATAAGTTAAGGGAAATCAGACTGTATAAGGCCTTTTTGGTCTAAGTAAAGTCTTCGGCTAAAAGGAGGATAAGCCACTGAAGAAGTAGAGCATAAGTATATCATGGTCTGACTTGATACAGGACAGTCCCTGCTGCTCTAGTGCTGGGAATACCTGCAGGATTAGGGAAGGGACCAGAGAGGATACTACTATGATAAAAGAAAATAAAAATAAAATTAAAAAAAAAAAAAACCCTAGACAGAAGATAGTAATTTCAAAAGACTGGGAGAGGAGAAGGTCTGGAGTTAGAAGATAAAATTTTGTGTTTGTCATTTAACGTTAGAGAAGCCTGTTAGCCGTCCAAGCACAAGGGTCGCATGGGCACTGGATATATGGGTCTAGTGTTTAAGGGACAATCTGAACTGGGGATTGACACTTGCATTCAACGAATGATGCTTATTAATAGTAACTAACGAGATCAGGCACGTTCACGGGGCTCAGACTAGTAGTAATTACAACATGATGATGGAATTCTGGCTCTACCATTTAGTACTACGAACTCTTGACTAAGCCATTTCTAGGATCCAAGCCTTAGTCTCCATACTAGTAAACTTCTCAGTGGCTAACCGTGAGCAAAGTTGAGAACCCTGAACCAAGAATTGCACTTGCCTGTCACGGAGGGAAGAGCCCTTATTGTGGAAACGATTACAGGTTTTCAAACACACTGCACAAGCAAGAAAGTCGCGAAGGCAGCAAATCAAAACAAATCTCAGGCCCAGAACTACAAACTTGTCTGCAGCGCACAAATATCGCGAGATCTGGCCAGGACAAATTCCCTTCCTCCACCATCCCGCCCCCGTGTGCCCTTGCTCCTCAACATCTCGCGATACCTAGGCACTGGAGCTGCTCTCTGCCGGCTTGGACTTGCGGGAAAGATGGAGTATCCTGCGTTGGGCGCTGTGGATGCTGCGGATGGCGGAAGGGCCGGGCCATACAACGGCTCGGGAGAGCGGGAGGGCGGGGAAGCGGACGGGGTTCGCTTCGACCGCGAGAGGGCGCGCCGCCTGTGGGAAGCAGTGTCCAGTACTCAGCCAGTGGGGAGGGAGGAAGGTGAGTCGGGGGCTTAGAAGCTGAAACCCCTAACCTGCCTGCCAGGCTCGCTGGGAGTGGCGTAGGCTGGGAGCGGGACCGCGGACCTGGCCCTCGGGGCCCTGGTCACACCCCCTGCACCGGTCCGCTCCTCGTGTGAGGAGCTGCAGGACTCTGGTATCTTAAGTCCCCAGCGCGACCCCGGCGTGTGAATGTTCCAGGCCTGTCTCGCTCAGACCTTGGGTTATTTCCCGTCTCTCTAGGACTGCCATCGCGGAGACCTCCTGAACCTTCTTTGCCGTGCCCGTAGCCAAGCCAAGTACCATTTCTCACTGACTCTCATAGTCTTAATCTCCAGAATTCCCCAACTCCATTGTTTCTTGCTTTTTCTCTCAAGCCCTACGCTAAGGAAGGGATCTGAAAGGCACTTACTTAGGTGTTCCTTCTGCTTTTGGTGATTGTGCCCTGGTTTACTGCTGTTTCTACGTATCTGGCCCCTTGCTGGGATCTTACTCTAAAATGAGGACTAGGAGTCTGAGAAAGTGGCCTAGAAGATGCTTTTTGTTCCAGTTTTTTTGTGTGTCTCACACTTAATGGTGAACTGTACCCAAAGCCACGCACTGTGGTTTCTAGGCTGAAGCGTCCCAGCTTGCTGTGTTTGATCTCAGACTAGGTAAGATGAGAAATTTTTTTTAAAAGAATGGGAAGATCGGGCTGACCTGCTTGTGTGACCCCCTTCAACAGTCCTTTCTCTTAGAGCTAGCTGCTTAACACTAACCTAGATGTACAGGAATTGTATTTGGTTTTCTCTGCTAATCCTGGCAGGTATTTACAGGGGAATCAGATTTCTTCAATGGCTTGCTTGCTGAGCAGACTAATCTTGGAAAGTTTAATATGTCTATAAACTGCCCAGGATAAAATTGAATTTTGACATTCCAGGAAGAGCTGTTTAAATTTGTGTGTGCACTTCTCCAATCTAACAGTTAAGTCTAGCCTGACTCCTAAATAATATGCGTACTATTTCTGAGTGCCTATATCACTTTAAAAACATATTTAGAACAAAGATGTCTCCACCTCTCAATTTTGATTGTATTAGTTTGACAGACATTCATTGATTCCCGTTCTCTTCCCTGAATTGGCTGGGCATCAGTCCTTGAACTGGAAGGGCTTATAGATATCAAAATATATAACATTCCAATATAATGGTGCAGAGAATAAGAATGCCTAATTGGGGAACACAACAATTAAGTGACCTTGGTACACAAGGAATGCATGCTCTGGACCTTGAAGGAGAGAACACAGCAGCTGTGCTCTGAAAAATAATCTGTCTCTTTATATGTGTATAAATATGTGATGTCACTGTTAAAACCTAGATCATTTCCTTGTTCTCTCTTTTCCCATGCTTATATGCGATCTGGGTTGGCACTCTCATTAAAATAGATAGATATAGATATATAGATACAATTTTTTCAACCATTGTACGTAGGCCATTCAATATTTTTTAGTAAAAGTATAGAGATGTGTAGCCATAACTATAGTCAACTTGTGGAACATGTCCATCACTCCACTTGGTTCTTTTTTTTTTTTTGGTAGAACCAGGGATTGAACTCAGATCCTTGTGTTTGCCAATCAAGCGCTTATCCTACTGAGCTATCTCCTTGGCCCCCATCCACTTGGTTCTTTTATGCTTCTTCACATTAAATCCCTGCTCCTGTGTCCACGATGGCCACTGATCTGTTTTCTATCTCCATGAATGTACCTGTCTGAACATTTCATACAAATAGAATCATACAATATATATTTTAGGTTTGGCTTCTGTTAATATGTTTATGGGGTTAACCAAGACATTGTATTAGTACTTTCTTTTTGTTGCTATAGAATTCCAGGGCTGGCCAAATAACAGTGGATTGAAGCTCCTGCAAGCAGGCTCAGGGGCTGGGGCCGGGGGTTTCCGATCATCCCCCCCCTCCTTGCCAGCCCCACCCCTGGGGTGCACTGAGACAACAATTGAGACTGGGCGTGGTGGCAAGTGCCTGTAATCTCAACTCTTGGGAGGCTGTAAACTGGTGGATCACTACGAGTCCAGTCTGGTAGTGAGACCCTGAACACACTGTAGACCCGTCCCTGAGATACAAAAAAAAAAAAAAATCCACTGTATGGATATGCTACATTTTGTTAATCTACTCATTAGTTGTGAACATTTGGAACTCTTGTGAATAATGCTACTGTGAATGTTTATGCTTAAGTTTTTGTATGGACTTTCATTTCTCTTGAGTATGTCCCTAGAAGTGGAATTACTGAATCATGTAATAACTCTGTCTTAACTGTTTTCTTTTGAGTGGGGGTACTGGGTATTGAACCTGGAGCCTCATGCGTGTTATGTATCTCCTCTACCACTGAGCACTTTTTAATTTTTTCTGATTTTGAGACTGCAGTCCGTCTGCCTTAGCCTAGTGAGTAGCTGGATTTGCACCAGTACACCCAGCTCCAGTGTACTTTGACATTTTTGGGGAACTGTAAAATGGCTTTACCAGTTTACATTTCTTCTATTTATGAGGATTTTAGTTTATCTCTTTCCCAATATGTTGTTTTCCTTTCTTTTTTTAATGTTTTCTTTTTAATGGTAGCCATTCTAAAGGGTGTTTTAGTAATACCTCATTGTGGTTTTCTAAATACTAATGATTTTGGGCACCATTTCATGTGTTTATATCTACTTGTATTCTTTCTTGGTGAACTGTCTATTCATGTCTCTTGCCCGTTTTGTAATTGTATTATTATTGAATTGTGAATTTCTTATATATTCTGGATATGTGTTTTATTGGCAGTAGGATTTCCACATATTTCCTGCCTATTGTCTTTTCATTGTCTAAGCAGTTCTTATTGAAGTACAACTTTTATTTAATTAGTACAGGCAGTGTTTTTGTTGTTGTTGTTGCTGTTTTGTATAGGACTCTGAAAGCAAAAGTAAAACAGACAAAAAAACACAAAAACAAAAATGAAGAAGTAGGCTACATCAACCTAAAAACCCTCTGAACAGCAAAAGAACGAGATAATACAATAAAAAGACAAATTATAGAGTGGATGAAAAAGTTTGCCAACTGGGCCGGCCAAATAGCTCAGCGGATTAAAGCATCTGCTTAGATGCAGGGGCCAGGAATTGGATCCCCAGGCCTGCCCCCTGCCCCAGGGGTACACTGAGATGGCTATTGAGACAGCGTGATGGCACCTGTATCTGTAATTCCAACACTTGGGAGGCTGTAAACAGGATCACTAGGAGTCCGATCTACACAATGAGACCCTGTACACCCTGTGCTAAATACCAAAAAAAAAAAAAAGTTTGCTAACTAGTTAACAATTAGTATCCAGAATATATAAGGAACTTCAAAATATTACACCAAAAAACCCCTACAAATTTAGGCAGAGCACAGTGGCCAGGGTTCAATCCCCTGTGAGCTGTGTTGGTCCCGCCCCCCCGGCAGCATGCTGAGATGGCGATTGAGACTGGGAGAGTGGGTGTGGTGGCACACGCCTGTGATCCCAGCACTTGGGAGGCTGCACACAGGAGAATTACTACAAGTCCAGTATATGTAGTGAGACCCTGTAGGCCCTTAGACCCTGTCCTAAATACAGAAAAAAATTGAATACAAAAAGGGACTAATGATCTGAACAGACATTTCTCAAATACACATGGCCAACAATTATAATCAGTATCATTAGCCATCAGGGAAATGCAAATCAAATCATTCCACTTAAAATAGCTAGTACCATCACTTCTCTGCTTTTTGGCTAAAATTAAGTGTAGTATCTATCCTTATCAGTTTAGTATCTGATATGTTCTCTATACGAGGACGATATATTAAATGGATCTTTGGAGCTAGGATATGGAATAGGAGCTTGCTCCATCCACCCCACACATCAACCTGGTGTTGCAGTACCTCCAAGAACAGTGCACCTCCTCGGTGGAAGGAAAAAATAGTACCAAAAAAATAGCAAATACTGGTAAAGATGTAGACAAGAAGGAACTTTCATATACTTTTGGCAAGGATTAAATTAATATAGTCATTATGGAGAACAAAGGTTCTTCAAAAACTGAAAGGAGATCTGCCATATGTGCCACCTATTCCACTGTTGGGTATATATCCAAAGAAAATGAAATCACACCAGATACTTGCATGCCCATGTTTACTCTAACACTATTCAAAATAGCCAAGATACAGAATCAGTCTAGGTGCCCATTGACAGATGAGCTGATAAAATATGGCATATATACACAATGGAATATTATTCTCCCATGAAGTTTGAAATTCTGTAATTTTTTAGCAAAGTGAATGAACTGGAGGACATTATATTAAATGAAATAAGCCAGACACAAAAAGACAAACAACATATGTGGAAGCTAAGAAAAAAGTCAACCTGAATGTAGAATAGAGATAGAGGTGGGGAAGCAGTGGGAGAAAGGAAGATAAAATTTCACCTGTCCATGCCATATACATATGTTAAAATATCATATTAAGCGGGGTGTGGAAGTGCATGCATGTAAATCCTGCACTCCAGGAAGCTGAGGCACAAAGATCGTAAGTGAAATCCCGGCTTGGGCAGTTTACCAATTTAGTGAGACCCAGTCTTAAAACAGTAGGGCTGGGGAGATGGCTCAGCAGAACAAGCGCTTACCTGGCAAGTACAAGGGCCTGAGTTTAATCCCTGGTTCTGCCAAAAAAAAAAAAAAATTAAAACAATAGTATGTTCATCAGTTATACACTTGGTATGCAACAGTGGTCCCATAAGAGAAAAGCTAAATTTCTGTCACATAGTAATACAGCCATTGTAACATACAAGGCACTACTCTCATGTTTTGTGATATTAGTAAACAAACATACACTGTGATCCAAACACACTGGGAGACAAGCAGGAGGCTTGCAAGTTCAAGCCCAACCTGAGCAAGACTTTCTTTGGAATTTTAAAAACAGCTGGGGCGGCGGTGAGATGGCTCAGTGGTCTAAAGCACCTACTTAGAACAAGCTTAGCAAAGCACAGGGACCGCAGTTCAATCCCCCAGCACCACATGCCAGCCAGCCCTGCCCCCCGGTGGGCTGAGCTGGCCACACACACACACA